TTATCTCGGCCTAATTAGTATGCTTTCTTTAAAACCACTACACAAGTTATCAGATTTCCTGACATGATAACAACGCAAATTCGGAAAAATCGTATGCTCGTTAAATAGCATACGATTGAATAATTCATATTCAAGAAGCAGTTATATCGCTAACGTTTATGTAGTCTCCAGAAATAAAAAAGCCATAATTTTATTTTGCTGTGGTTTATAAAATTTTCGGAACTTCGTTCTATTTAATATTTTGCGTTCTATCACAGATTTCAGTTTAATCTTATGAAAGAATAAATATGAAAAGTATAAAGAATGTTATTGTTCTCTCTCTACATATATATATTATGCTAAAAAATAGTAATAGTAATAATTAATAAATTTTAATTGCCAAAAATTTAAAAAAAATTTTTTTAACCAGTCCTGCGCTATATCTGCGGGATTGAAGTAAGTTAATCTTAAAGCATCATAATTAAGTTAAAATTAAGTTGGAATCAAAGTAAGGCAATTCCTCAACAATATTAATATTTGCAATCGTAGATAAGAGGTTTAACACTGTAGCTAAACATATCAAAATTAAAAAAAAAACTCATCTGTAGAACAAACTCGAAACATTTGTATAGATTTTCCTTTTCGCATTTTTATTTTTCGAGTTTGTTCTACTGATGAATTGGTTTTTTTAATTTTGATATGTTTAACTACAGTATTAAACCTCTTATCTACGGTTGCAAATATTAATATTGTTGAGGAATTGCCTTGCTTTGATTCCAAATTAATTTAATTTTAGATGCTTTAAGTATAATGCTTAAAGATATAGGTTAAAGAACAAGTTTTATATGATAAAGACTATTATTACATTATATATATGCAGTTATATGCAGATATGTTAAAAGCAGCACGTTACCAAAAGTCATCATACAGCTCATTTTCCTTTTAAATAAGAGCCCACCAGCGGCCGAGCGGTTAAGTCGCTGAACACGGGTAGTTCGGTCCGAGGTTCGAATCCCCGCGAACGGGCATGGCATGCATGTATGTTTTCGTGGTTTTCCCCATGTGTAACGTGTATACGAGCCAGTTTCTCTTAGAAAGTCCTCCACGAAGGCACTCCCCTTAGGCAGATAGCCCTCGAGGCTTTGCCGTAATTAAATAACCTAACCTGTAAACTAAAATTGCATATACGGCTGTTTCTTTCCTTTTTGGATTTATAAGAAGACCTCAATAACGAGTGAAATCCAATAATTTTGATTCTCTTTTCCACTGTGATCGTAGTTTGAGAGAAACCATATTGTAAAATTAAGGCACGAAAAGAAAGCTGATAGAGAAACACGTAAAATTGATAGGTAATGTCGTACAACTGTACAGACCTATTATAGAAGTTTCTTTGAGTTTCTAACATGCTTTACTGTCTGTTCCCGTTTTCCCATCTACTATTCCCTATCAGAATGAGTTTTTAGTATCTCGTTTTATGCCAATGAGTTAGAAGGAGTATTTAAGAAAAGTTAAACTTACTTCGAGAGAGAGTGCTTAGGATTGCTTAGTGGCGCGTGTTTAACTTCTGGCAACTTCGTTCTTAAATCTACTAGGCTAAGCCGTATTGTACGTACATGTTGATAATCGTCAGCTAGGTTAATTTAAGGGCCAATTACGTTAGGTACTTGTGTCTAGCTTTGGATAAGTCTATTTAGTTTAGTATTACATTAGTTTTTAATTTTTTATCCTGATTTAGAATTGAACTTCGACATCAAATTATGAAGACTGGTTTAGCTTGCATGAAATTTTCGTGATTTCAAACTAGCATGTCAGCCTGGATAATGGATAGATACTTGGAACATGTTTATAATAAAATGTGGACAACTAAGATAAACTGCATCTATAAAAGTTGTAACTGGGAAAAATATCGATCAAGTGGTTTAATTAAAAATGGAAGAATCTAATGCTATTAAGCTTCGGCGTTCAGGAAACCTATTCAATTGAATGGAAATAAAATATTAAATTCATGTCCTCCGCTTATTGAACATTGCTGAGAGAAGCAAAACTCTTTGAGTTTCATTCAGATAAAAATTCTTTTTTGAAGTTCAAAGAACACTATTCAAGTAAAACATACCTTTTGTATTATCTACAAATGCCTATTAATTTTTCTTAAAGATCACAAACGGATCAAGAAAGAGTGATCAACAATTATTTTTAGTGATAAAAATTGAATCCCGGTTTTTCAGCAAATTCCACGGAGTACATAGAATATAAAGAAAACGAGAGAATGTATGTGTATTCACTGTTTTATTTCCACTGTTGAGCCTATTGGGGATACTTCTTAAATAGCATATCTTTTAATTGAAAACATCTAAGAATCCATAAATACACATAAAATTATCCGGGGTTGTATGCAGGTTTGTTAATATGAAGGATCTTAGGGATTTGCCTAAAAACTTTTGAATAGGAACAGAAATTGAGGGGAGAAGTTTGATTGATATATGTACGGGGCAGGGGATATTAAAAGAATGGCAAGTTTGACAAATTAGAGGAAGGGGGTGTTAATCACGGATAAATTTTAAAATTAAACTGAAAAAAAGATAAAATTAAAAAGATGCAATGCTTTTTGTTAAGTAAAAAGCGAATTACGATAACTGTAAATATTTGTAAATAAAAGTGGTAGAAAATGGGAGAGACAACTGTTTCCAAAATCATAAAATATTTAGAAACGGTGGGTTGGGATGTTTAATGAAGAGTTATAGCTGGTTACGGGTCCGAATTGGAACTGGAAATTATAATGTAACTTTGTGGTATGACAGAAATATTGAAATAACATTGAGCTAAATTCGTGCTATTCACACAGGTGCGATTTAATCTATTCGACACCAACATTAACAACGCATTGCGCATCGTTGTCAAAGGCGGGTTCTACCTTGGCGTAATTTATCATTTTTTTTTGGCGGCGACTTTCAAAGTTTAGAAAGGAAAATAAGGTTCCTTCTTCTATAAAAAAGAAGGAACACATTTCCTTTTATTAAAGTATAATAAAAAGAGCAGCAGATTTTTATGTTGTTCGCAATGTTTATCCTTTCCTGAACGGGTTTGAAAGGATGACTGATTTGAAGGGGCAAAGGCAAAATCGTGTTGACATTTTCTGTACTTCTTAGAATACATTTAGCTTTAAAGATGTGTTTTGCGCAATCAAGCCTTTAACTCATTCCTCTTTGAAAAATTTCGTCCGATAAAAGATACTAAAAATTAGACAGAAGATTTCTGTGTAGAAAATTTAGACATGAAATAAGTTAAAAGCGATTATATGAACTATTAAATGAATTATTCTGTATGCCTGCTTATTTTTTTTTTATAGAAATACTTGGCATTTTCAGGACACAAAAAATGCTTCAAAGAACTTTGAAATATTAGTACAAACACATTAATCAATTAAATTGAAATAAATAATAGGATGTAATTTAAAAGGGAGAAATAATTTAATGTAAGAGATTTAGATTTAAAAATTTGCACACACAAATGATTTATCAGATTGTGTAAGGTTTTATTTCACAAATAACTTTGATTTTGAAACATGGCATTTGAACCTATAAACCTGTGTGGATACCGAAAAAGTGATGAATATATAAGAATATTATCATTTTCAGTAAGTTTTCTTATTGAATAATAAATTCTGACAGTCCTATGCTATAAGAATAGGGTCTAAGTTTGCATAAAATTCCTCTGTTAAATAAAAGAATTTAAGTAATTTCTGTAGCCTTTTTGTCAATAAAAAAAAAAAAAAAAAAAAAAAAAAAAAAAAAAAAAAAAAAAAAAAAAAAAAAAAAAAAAAAAAAAAAAAAAAAAAGATTTTTTAACTAATTACTCGTCCTCGCTTGCAATTAGAACCATCATTAAATCCCTATTTTATCTAATCATTTCCTGAACATTATCATGTATATAGATTGACCTCGTCTTTGTAACTGATAATTATTACTTGCAAATTATTCTCTTGCTGTTGAACTATTAACAACCCTTTCTATTGCTGAGTTAGGGTTAACAACCTTTGCTCTCACTACCGCCTGCCTTACGGAAATCGGCGTAAAATTCTGGTACCTGGGCTGCTTGTACGCATGCGCGAACTTAGGTGGTGTGAATAGCCTGTTAGCTATTCGCACCGTCGGTGCGATTAGCCACTGCGGAGCTAAAAGCCTTTTTGTAGGCGTTGATCAAACCGCCCAACTAGGATAGTGATTAACGACGCTGACTGCCTTGCCGAAGGTCCCGGAGAAGGCATGGATTTTTGTAAATGCATAGAATCTGTACGGCGTGGAGACGCTGAAATTATGCCGCGAGCCGAAAGTTCTCTCGAGATGTTGGGGATAGGAGGAGAGGGTGGGAGGCCCTTGGACTCGTCCAATCCCCCCCCGGGCTCTCCATCACAATTGGGACGGAAATGAGCATAATCGTACTGTCACCTACCTGATGCTCAAGGCTCTTAACAATGTCAGACGCAGTCTTGCACTCCTTGCCAGGATGAACTTCGTGGGCTTGTTCTGGTGTTACTCTCAGACAAGTGAGATATGTCGCAACACAGAGCTTGATCATAGTAATACAGAGAAATAGGAGTTGCTTGGACCACCCATGGTGTTGTGAATCAAACTGGGACAGAACTGGGCAAACTCTTGCCATCATCTGTATGGTGCCCAACAATTTGGCCAACGATTAGCCCGACCGTCTGCCTCTTGGGAGTGAAGAATTTGGATCCATGATCTGGATTACGAACACAAGGGTTAGCCACGATAAGAAACTTCATCTATTAAATGACACTTTGCTCTCCATTTCGTGTACTTTTCGTTTTACGAATAATTTTTAGACGCTTACTGGAAATGTTTTTGATCACAAAGAACCGAAACTGAAAAAATAATTTTGTGCGAGAAGCATTCCTTAACTTGCAGAAATGTTGGCAATTTTTCAACACTAGGAAAATGCTTAGTTTGTATAATTATCTCCAGTTTTAATTTTTTATTAATTACTTACTTTTTTAATTATAGGGAGATTCTGGTGGTCCTTTAATGCTGAAGAGTGCTGATGACAGATGGATTGTTATCGGTATCGTTTCACTGGGCTACAAATGTGCGGAACCCGGCTATCCTGGCGTTTACACTAGAATTACTCATTACATGACCTGGATTCAGACCAACATGAAGCGCTATTAATAAACTTGTGTACATATGCATTTATTGTTAGTGTTCATGCATGTTTTCTTATTCTTTTTACTTCATTTTTTCATCTAATTTCACATGCAAATTCAAAATCGAAATTTAAAGACCACTCTTGAAAAATTTTGAGCATTTTTGAAGAGAAATATGTATGTAAAAGAAACTAATCAGCAATTATTGTTTGTTCACGAGTAGGATTATTATATTGTTTGCAGTTAGGGGCTACTATATTTTTACATTATTCTTTTAATATTAGTTTTAAGCATTTGTTAGTTCGAGAGAGTAACAGGAAAAGTTTTATTTTTTGGAACACCTCAAAAAACTACACATTTAATGGAAGTTAGTTTTGCTATACTTTACTGATAATAGTGCTAAAGATTTTAGAACTAAATTAATTAAAAATATTTATATCCGAAAATAATGAACAATTGGATAACTGCTTGTAGTTTTATGTCACATTTTAATTTTGAATTTATGTAATTAACTTTATGCTAGCAAATATAATGGAAAGTGTTAATTAAATTCAATTACTAATATAGCGGGCAATTTACAATTTTAAAACGATTATGTCATAATGTTTCCTGGCATTCTGTATATTAGAATAGATTTCTCATACATTTTAAAAGCATGAATTGCGTGTCATTTCTTCTTTCACTTAATCTTGCACTGATCTTCTTCCATTCTTCTTTTCATCGTTTTCTTCTTGCCGTTCTTTCATTTCATTTCCTCTTTCACTTATCACTTATTCACCTTGCACGAATATTTTATTAAAGTCAGCTTTCTGAGGAAAATTTCGAAATTATTTCTTAAATAATGAACCACTGCTGAGAACCACTGCTTATTAGCCCTAAATAAAACACAGTTACATGATACTGACATGTTCAAGGCATTCAAACATGAAAAAAAAACTTAATTGATTTGAAAACAAAATACTTACGATAAAATTAATTAAATAAATATAGATCTTCTAGCGAATATGTTAAAAAGTAAGGACAGGATATACTTCCAAAGTTAGTTTTCGTCTATAAGGGGGGTCTATTTTTCAAGAGACACTTTAATTTAAAATACATCGTCTTAACTCCAATACGAGCATAACTTAAATTTTTAGCAATAGCTACTTAAGATCACTTTAGTGAAATCAAAAGTGAAACTTTTGTTCTATTCAGAAGTTAAAACATTATTACCTACATATTTTTATAAATTTAAATCATCGAATTTAAAATAATTAAACTAATTACAGCAGCTTTTTTGTAATTCTATTTCCTGCAAATCGACAAGAAATATTCTTAGAAAATTTTATTTCTTTATTTAGTACACGCTACACAGCTGTAATGTTTTTCAAATATCAAATAAAACTAGAAATTTAATAATTGACATTTAGTAATCATTTAACCTTTTCCAGGGGGCTGGGACATATATGTCCCGCACGTTCACTACTTTAAATGTGTCTCAAGAAATTTCAGTAAACTATGGAGATTTACTCCTTAATATGGATTAGGAAGTGCAAGAACCTGTCGATTTGTTTTTCTGTTCCTTTCAATTAAAATAAGTGACTAAATGGCCAAAATACATTCTAAATTGGCCCCTATAGCCCACGGGAAAAGGTTAAGTGCAAACGTTGAACAGTTGAGCTTTCTAACTGCTGTTAATATTAAACGAGGGCTGAATTGTACTTAATATTGCATAGGAATAACTAATCGACTATTTATGATAGATAATAGTTATCAGCATAATATTCTTAGAAATTAAACATTTCAAAAGTTATATCGATTTCAGTATCACCTTCATGGCATTTTGTACTTCTGCAAATGCTCTTTCTTTCTTCAAAATTACAGAATAAATTTATATAAGTGAATAAAATTTTATGTGAAAAAAAAATTCATTAAATATGAAATTTTTATGTAAAAAAATATTTCGTTTTATGTGAAAATATATTTCTCAAAAATAATGCGCATGTTTGGCAGAAGGGTTAGATTATAAAAAGCTTTGAAATAATTATAGTTGTGATTTTCTCAAATTTATAGTTTATGAAATAAAGCTCTAAAAGTAGCAATATAACCGTTACTGCACACTTCGTAATAATGATAGCAATAAATAAATTATTCATTTAAATAATTCCTTAGATTTTAGTATAAATTAAAAAGAATAATTCATTAAAAGGCATAACATACTTGCATTCTGTTTTATTTTGATGCCTATCTATTATCTTTGCACCAGAAGTTTCTACTAATTTTACCTCTTGAAGGACTGGGGAATAACGTACTCGGAGTATACTATTTCTGAAGACATGGCTTAAATGATCAGTACATTAACAACCACACCCTAATTCTTTTCATTTGCACAAAATAATTTTCTATTTGCGCGCACATTTTACATTGTTCCAATTAATTCAGAAATTTCTAAACCATATACTCGAAAATCTAGGGAATGTGAGAGGGAGAAATATACGAGTAAATACTGAAATGAATAATAAAAGTGAAATGAAATGACAAAAGCAAAGAAATTATTTCGCTTATTACTCGCAAGTTATCTATACTTTCTTTGCAAGTTATTTTAGAACTCTAAGCAAGCACTTTCGCTAGATATTTTTATATAACTTAATGCACATCATTTTCTTAAATTCCTGCTATAAGCTCACACTTCTCCCTATATCTTGTTCAAATTTTCAGTCGTTAATAAAATACTTTTTATTCATACATTCAAGTCCTAATACATTGTTTTAAACTTGTAGTGGATGACACTTGAGGTTAATACAGATTTTTCACATATTAAAGATTGAAATTTCACATATTAAGACTTACAAATAATAACCGTTTATTAGGAATTCTCACGTGCTGTAAAAATCAATATTATAACAACTTATAAATAATAGTACATGTTTGTGATAAATGGGATAGAAATATTTAACAAAAATAAGTGGCAACAGTAAGACAGAGTTCTAAAGATTTTTAAAGTGTATGGAATTAAAGAATTGTAGTTTTATAGAATTGGATGAAACGGATGTAATGTCTCATTATGTAGCGAAATTTCTCATGAGTAGGAATTGACTTTAATTTTTTTTATATACATTACTTGTTATTTAGCTATTTTTAATCGTTATTTCCCCAAATCTTAATGTTCTGCATTTTTCAAAGTCATCATCTATTAAGAATAGCTTCAAACTACATCATCTATTATAAAATTATTCAAACCGTTCTTTTACTAAATAAATAAAGCTCTGATTTAGAAATAACAACGTTTTAAAAAAGGGTAATGAATAATTGTTAAAAAATAATGAGTTATTGCTTTAAAATTTGACAGAATACAGATACATTTATTAATCTTATAACTACCTTATCATATTTTATTAGGTGTTAACTAACAGTGAGATCATTAACAATAATAAATTTAAATTATACTGTATTTCGATTTTATTAGGATTTGTAATTGTGATGTGTTTTTTTTTACAGTTTTGTCTTATGTTCATTAATTAGTATGAAAATAAAAGAATCTGAAAAACTGGTTTGATTTGAAACTTCTTTTTTTCTAAACATTTCTCTTTCAAATTTAAAAAACGAGACTATTAAAATTCATTTCTGGAAATTTAATTTTTTTTTATACCCGTAGACAATTATTTCTTTTAGGTAAGAAAAAGTACTTTTTTTTTTCCTAAGACATGGCATAATATAGAACAACTCTAAAATAATTAAATGTAACATGATATAAATTGCTCAGAATCATTGTTTCATGCTTTGCAAAACTATTGCACTCTTCTTCACTTAATGCTAACAAGGGAATATTGGAAAAATTGTGATGTAAAATTTACTCTTACAGGGTGTCTAGCAAAGGAGTCCCTGATTTCAAAACTAGAAATCTCGAAAACAAAGATCACTAGAGGAATACAACAAGCGGTATATTTGTGAAAACTTTTAAGATTGTTTTGTAGAAGTTTCAAAATAATAGTTACAAAAGCTACCAAGAGATGGCGCCTTACGCTGTGCAGCTTGTATGAACATACAGAAATAAACTCATCTACTTCAAGCCGTCTTTTAAATACCACAATTTTTTCGAATTATCCACCGCTCGCAGTAGAGAGGTGGCTCCAATGAACAATGAAATTTCCCAACAGAAATAGATTCAGATGCCATACAGATCGACAGTTGCTCGTTCAGCGTGTTGAGATGGTTTCGATAAACAAGCAATTAAACATTTACTACAGATTGGAGATGGTTTCGATAAACAAGGAATGTAACATTCACTACAGATTGGTTCTCGCATGAAAAAAGACCCGATAATACCTATGCTGCTAACTGCAGTTCCAACAATAACTTTGGCAGAATCTAGTGCTTTCGCTTCACTCAAATGGAGATTTTCGGTGCCCCAAAATCGCCAGTTCTGTTTATTTACGAATACAAACAAGTGGAAACGTGCTTCATCTGTGAACCAGGTACAGCCAATATCCAATCCTTCATTATTAGTCATTGTGAGAATCTGGTTCGTCAAGTCAGCACTTTGTCGCACAGCTCATACGGGCAAAGAAAATGTATACGAGGAAGGAAATAAGCTTCCATAGACGTAATGTAAACCAGTTTCGCAACTGTGCCGCTATATCGCAGAGAGACAAATTCTCGCGAGGTGTACAGGAAATTGAATCCAATACAAATACAGAAAGTGAATACGGTACAAATACAAAGAATTTATAGGATTCGTTCTTCGACAAAACTTTTCGCGATAATTTAAACTTGGGTTTTCGAGATTTTATTACTTAAAATAAATCATCCATTAATTAATGCACTTGCGCAGTTGACTGATTTGATTCATGTCGATAGGGCAGGGGAAAATGGTATCATTTGAACTCTTGAACCTTCGACACTAGCTCGACAACTATTTCAAGTCACCGCATAAGATGGTCTTCATCCATATTACTATGCTGCATAGTGCAGTATGATGCAAAGTTTTGAACTAATATTGTCTGATATGGATAGTGCTGCAAAGTGGGCATATTGAACTTGGTAGGATACAGTGTGAAACAGGTGTGCTTC